ATCCCATGCAAATTGGTGTTCGGTTTCTAATGTGTGCATGGCGACGTCAGACGAGGGATATCGCCCCTTTACCGCTCGTTGATGCTCTCGTAAGCGTGTGGAGGCTGATCTTCCTGTCTGTCCGCAATAAACGGTATTGCAGCCGCCACAAGGGATCTTGTAGATGACTTCTTTTCTGTTCAAGTAGCCAACCCTATCCTTAGGGTGTACGAGCTGATTTCGCAGAGTATTCGTCGGTTTGTGCGCCACTTGGATTTGGTGCTTCCTCAGGTGTCTTTCAACGAGTTCAGAAACGTTCTAAATACATGGAAGTGTTCGCCATCTTCTTGGATTGGGACAACTGGCGCAAGCACCACGCCACTGCATTATCGATTTTCCCACGAACTCTCGATAATAGCTGTTAGCCGTTTTTGGCACATTCACTTTTCTCCACGTCTGAAGACGAACTGGGGTTCCAGTTTCGAAAATTCAACTTATATGCCATCGTTTCCCAAAGTGCCTTTTTCTACATAATATTGTATTTCAGAAACTGCTCACTGAATTGCGTCTCGAAAAGCCAAAAAAGGCATCCTTACGCAACTGCGTTTGTGGCTGATGGGTGGCTGCTGTTGAAGTTCAATACTTGCACCGCATTTGTCGGTTTCCTGAGCATTCTGGTTTTTAGGCTACCATAATCTTTGCAGCAGACGAATACGCCACGGAAGGCCAGCTGATTGTTTTCTTCCCCCTTCATCGTAAACTGTATGTCCGGGAAGACGATGCTGACACGTTCGTTGAACATGAGCACTTGATCCCGTTCCATGGCCATGAAGATACAATTCACATACCACGCTTGTAATTTTGGTCTGTGGTGTTGGAAGATCAGCGACGTTGATTGAAATTCATCAGCCCATCTACAAGTGTCTACTTCTACCTGGTCCAACGACCACCACCGCGCAATCGAGGGCGTCAATGAGCTAAAAGTGAACAATCCACAAATCTCCCTTGCATCTTCTTCGTCATGCACCGCACTTAGGACAGACACACAAGTTTAATTTAGGCCTTAGAGAATGGCGTCGGATAAGAATTTTAACCCACAGTACAATTCTTAAGGCCCGACTATCGTCATCCCAACAATACGCAAGGATGAAGGGGTAACAAGCTCCGCGTCCGGCTTCGCATGTACTATTTCAGACTGGATGTAAACGTCAACTCGTCTGATAGGACTACGTAACTTGCATGGCTACACCCTTTCTCACAGATAAATCTCAAGTTCTAAGGTACAGTAGTGAACACTACAACAGTTGATAGCATGATATAATGACTCTAAACGCGACAGCACACAACTTCATGGCATACTATTTTTAAGCAAAAATTTCTCAATTCGACTTAGAACGTCCTTTCGATGAAAGACAGTACGGCAATCGCCAATTTAGTCAATTATGCCCTTTGTGTTATCTGTTGCCTCAAATGCAGGCACCAAAAATAAGGCGACAGTTGGTGCACAACCAAACAACTGGACAGGGTCTAGGAGGATGATACCTACTTAAGAAGACACAATCAACTGAGTTCTCTCATGATGAAAGCCGCTGAGTCGAAGACATTCCCGTTTTGTATCCCCAGATAAAAGGAGAGGACCAGGGAGTAACTGATACGAAGTAGATGCGATCGCTGGGACGATAACTTCATTCGCTTGACGTTTAGGATTCTCTCTCGGAGCCAGCCTCAGAGACAGTATAAAAACGGATAATGCATATACGGAGTTTCAGTATTTATAGGATACATTTGTTGTGATACTGCATACGTATGACAAGTAACGGCTCCCTCTACCGAAGAGACTTGCCCACTTGTGCACTAACTGCTTGATGGCCGGCATGCGGGTCGTGACCTGGTCACATATTCAAGTGTAATGCGGCAAATATTATTGCGAGGGGTGACAATCGTGTGAGTCGCGAGTTAATTGTGTTGTGATTTACGCCCCCAGTAAACAAACAAGTGCAATGACCTACCCAATCCATATCCGGTGCTGAGGCTCAATTTAGTCAAAACAATACGCCACTTGGGGAACGTATAGGTCAACGCGTGGTCTAAGGCCAGCGCCAGGGAGCCAGATGGTCGAACAATCATCACATCTAAGTTCACCACGGGAGATTAAAGTTGAGCAGATCGCGACCTGCACGTTTACTATCAAGCAATTAGCACACAAGCGAGCAACTATCCTCGATAGAGGAGAGCCCTTAATTTTCAGAGGCATGCAGCGGCATAAGAACTGTATACTATAAATACAGCAACTCCCTGTGCATGAATTACTCGTTTCTGCTACTATCTCCGAGGAATGGATTCGCGAGGGAATCCGAAACGTCAAGCGAATGAAGTGCTTGTACCAGCGATCACATCAGCTT